CCGCTGCCTCGGTCTCTCGCTGGAGGCGCCCTTTGAGGGCACGGCCTCCAAGCCGATCAAGCTCGGCGTGGTGCCTGAGCAGGAAACCAACGCTAAGACGAAGGCCCCCTACTCCTTTGGGCTCAATCTGAAGATTGACTTCCGCGACCGCGAGCCCGACTCGGATGGCGACCTCTCGAACCCGGTGCCAGTCGACAGAAAGCAGCTTGTTGCGTGCTTGAAGGCTGACACGAATTTGGAGATCACGGCACAGGACTTGGATTACAAGCGGCTGAACCAGGACATCGCAGTAGGGTGGCAGAAGGGAAGCAGCAAGAACCACCTCATCGGCGTCTCCTACCAGGCGGCAACCTTTCAGGTTGGACTGAATCCAAGTGTTCCCGACCTTTGGAGCAGCAGGGTCAACTACCTCGGTGCGCCGCCGCACGGGCTGCTGCCCTCCGTCAATGCGATCGAGCAGCGCACCTTCAGCCGGCACAAGCCGAAGCCAGTCACGATCGAGGTGGCGCTCAGCGACAAGCAAAACAACGTGGCCGCCTTTCCCCGGGGCGGCCCACTCAAGGCGGAGCTCAAGCTGCAGTTTGTCTCGGGTGCGCCGCTGTGCCTCCGCCTCGCATCCTCCTCTGAGAGCGAGGCGACCGCGAACCTGCCCCGCGAGGGAGGCGGGCCGGCCTGGCTGCACGACACCGCCGCCGCCGCCGGCGGCAGCGCTGCCGCCGCTCGCACGATGGTCGCCAACCACGAGCCGCTGCCTTGCATCGCGGTCGTCCTGCGCGACTCGTTCGAGTGCGCGCTGCCCTCCGGCTGCCTCGTCACCGTCACCGCCCGCGCCGGCGTCGCAAACGGCGGCGGCGTCGCAAACGGCGGCGGCAGCGGCGGCGGCGGCGGCGGCGGCGGCGGCGGCTTTCTCAGTGGCGGCACGACCGCCCGGCTGGACGAGGACGGCGTGGCGACGTTCGACGGCCTCGCTCCTTCCCTCGGGCAGGTCGCGGCCGGCGGGTCGCCAATCGCGCTCACTTTCGCCGTCTCGCCGCCCGCCGACCCGCGCCGAGACAAGAAGGCCGCCGCCGCGCACGAGGCGGACCGCGAGGAGCTGGAGAAGCTCTGCCTCTCCCGCACCCTTTTCGTCCAGCCGAGCCGCCGGCCGGCCTCGCTCGTGCTGAGGCGAGGGGAGCGGGTCCTCTCGCCCGAACCAGGAGGCGGGCCCTACCTCGTCAGGGTCGCCGTCGAGCTCCGAGGTGCCGCTTCGCTCTTCGAGGATAAGAGACAGTTCCCGGAGCTCTCCCGTAGGGCACTGTCGGGGCCGAGGTGGCCGACTTGCGCGTGCTCTTGCGCAACGAGGCGGGGGAGGAGCTCGGCTGGGCCAGCGTGGCGGGCGATCTCACCGTCGACGGCGTCGTGGCCCGTGGCGGAGACGCTCTCCCCGGCCTCAAGATCCCGTCCTCGATCAAGGACGTCCGGCGCTGCAGCCTCGCCTTCAAGCCGACCGCCGGGCCGCCGCTCGAGGCCTCGCCGCCTAGAAGCGGAATACGTGGTCATGTACTCCGACCAGCGCTCGAGAGGGCTCGCACGCAGCCGGACTCCGCTGTATGTTTCGTATTCGCACCCCTCGTGCTCACGCGGTGCTCTGAATACGCTGCGCAGAACCGCATTCCTGGAGCTACGTGTTTCCAGCATGTAGGCCGTGCTGTCTCTCAAGCCTCGTGCGGGAGCGCCGGCGAGGTGGGCGCTGAGCAGCCACGGGGCCGACGCGGGCAGCAGCCGCGGGCAGAAGCGAGGCCGGCACGGCCTCAAGGCGAGCGTTAGCTTACCGACTTCGCTCATTCCAGTTGGAGGAACAAGTTCGCTGATCTACTAGTCAACGCGGCCGGCGTTGCCCTCCAGGTGTCGGTGGGTGCGCCGCCCGGTTTCGTCATCCAGTTGGTGGACGAGAGCGGCAACGTGGCGCGCGCCGCTCGTCGGGAGGTGCGAGGAGGGGGTGCGATCCGCGTCTCATTCACACCTCTCGCTGCGAGCAGGTGCGCGCGTCCCTCGTCCGGAGCGGGGAGGAGGACCGCGCAGGGAGCCTCTTGCCCACTCTCTCCGTCGCCTCGGGCTCGGAAGTGGACGGCCCGTGGCTCGTGCCTGCCCGCGCTGCCCTCCCCCCCTCCGGCGGCGGCGGGCGGCGGCCTCCTCCTCCTCCCGCCGAGCTCGGCCGGGTGCGCGAGTGGAAGCTGACGGTCGCCGACCTGCTCGACGGCGACGAGGACGCCATCTGGGCTGTGCCGGTGGCGCTCGTCGGGAGGGCGGGCACGGACGAGGCGATCACGGCGTCGCGCTGCGTGTCGCCAACGGCGCCTGCTCACACTCTCCAGCTGTGAACAGGCGAGCGACGTCACGCTGCGTGTCGCCGGCGCGCAGGGCACGTTCGAGCAGGCGCTCGTGCAGGTGGGCTCGCTGCCGTAGACTGGCCGAGATGGGCGGAGCTGAGCATCGGGTGGCCCGAGATGGGCCGAGGTGGCCCGAGAGGAGCCGAGAGGAGCCGAGATCGCCCAGAGTTGAGCCGAGGCCGGCCGGCGCTGCTGCAGGTGGGCTTGCTGCCCGGCCCGCCGGCACGGCTGGAGTTCACCGCCAAAGCTGCCACCGACTTCTCCTCTCGGCCGCTCGGCTCGCGCGAGTACTTTGGCCAGCTGCCGCTGCACGTCGTCGACGTGGCCGGCAGCTCTGCCCCGGATCTCGCTGCCGCCGCCGCACCCTCTCCGCTCCTTGACTCGCCGCCGGCCGTCCTCAGGCAACTCTGTTCCGGTGGAGAAGGTTGCGCTGCGGAGGCTGGCATGCCGCGCCAGCCCGGACGTTGGGATCGACATCAAGGTCCGCTCCCTAGCTCACCGACTACGGCCGAAGCGCGGTCTCGCTGCAATCGCGTCACGCCTTCACTGCAATCGCGTCACGCCTTCACTGCAATCGCGTCACGCCTTCACTGCAATCGCGTCACGCCGCAGGTGGACGGAGAGCTCGACGTGCAGGACGACGCCAACGGGCGGCGGTGGGACCTCGCCTTTGGCTTCAAGGCGAGCTATGGGGAGATATAGGGAGATGTGGGGGGAGTGGGGCCTCGCCCTTCGCTTCAACGCATGAAGAGGAAGGCTCACGACCGCTAGCCTCGCCCTTCGCTTCAAGGCGGACCCTGTCGCGCTATCTCTCCCCACATCTCCCCACATCTCCCGCTACATCTCCCCACAGGCGGACCGTCTCGCTCTATCTCTCCCCACATCTCCCCATATCTCCCGCTACATCTCCCCACAGGCGGACCGTCTCGCGCTCGGCCGCGCCGACGGCCAGCGCGCGGCGGCGGAGCTGCGGATCGAAGGCGCGCGTGCGACGCTGCAGGGCGGCGAGGCTGTGGAGCTGTCGGCACCGCCCGTCCTCTTCGCGGTGCAGCTTGGCGAGGAGTACGTCACCGACCTTGTCCCGACGGGCGTCGAGGCGCAGACTGTCGCTCAGAGACTTCCCCCGAAAAGCACCCCCGAAAACCAACCCCCCAAAAAATTTCCCCAAAAAATTTCCCCAAAAAATTTCCCCAAAAAATTTCCCCAAAAAATTTCCCCAAAAAATTTCCCCAAAAAATTTCCCCAAAAAAGGCCCCTCCAAGAGAGCCCTCCCCCCCCCCTCCCCCTTTCCCCCCTTTTCTTCTTCTTCCCCCCCCCCCCCCCCTCCTCCCCCTTTCCTCCTCCCCCCCTCCCCCCCCCCCCCCAATTGCTCCCCCGACATGCATGGGACTGATAGGCGGAGGCCGGCGCCGTCGCCTCCCCCCGCTCCAGCCTCGGGGCCGCCGCCGGGGCGCGCGAGGCCGCGCCGCAGGTGCGGAAGGCAATTAGTGATCGAAGGAAAGTCTAGTGTATTGAGTGGACCAATTAAGGGCGCGCGAGGCGGCGCCGCAGGTCCGGCTGGTGGCGGGGAGCAGCCTGAGTTCGTTCAAGCTACAGCTGCGGCGCGAGGACGGCAGCCTCGCGCCGCTATCATTCGCCGAGCCGGGCGGTGCGCTCTGCGCGAGAGTTGAGCTCCGCTTCCCCTGTGGTTATGATGAATTGATTAATTAATAATAATAGGTGAGCTCTGCGCGAGGGTCGAGCTCCGCTTCCCGTCCGGGTTCCGACCCCGCGCGGCAACTATACCGCACCACCCACGGGACTGAACCCACACCGGGTTCGATCCTCTGGAGGTATGGGACTAGGCGCCGCTCGAGCGGAGCGACGCAGGCGCGCTTTTCTCGCTGCCGCGGCGCGACGTCGGCGGCAGCGTGCGCGGGGGGGCTCTAGTGGCCGCCGGCACCTACTCCGTCGTCGGCCTCTTCACGGAGAGGCGGCCGGGGGTTGTGGAAGCGCTGCGCGGGCTCGGCTTGGAGGGCGAGGCGAGCAGCTTGGGGGGGGTGGGGGGTGGGAGGCTGTCGACCCCCCCCGTCAAGAGGCGCTGTTCACGCCTCCGGCCGCGAGCAGGCGAGCTTTGAGCGGCAGCTCTTCTCGGTCGTCGTTGAGGCGGGGCCGCCGGCGGGGCTTTCTAGAATGCCTCTCGCTCGAGAGGCCACGTACTCAGCTGCACTCCGCCGTGTCGAGGGAATGTCAAACTAGCCGAGTAGCCCCGCGGTGTCAGCGAGCACGCTGCGCAACGCCGTACACGCACGCGCCGACCCCGCACTCTCACGACCCAGGCGACGCTCGCCGTCCACGCGTATTAGTGAAGTAGCTAGTGAGCAGTTCGCGCACTCTCTCCTCAATAACAGGCGAAGCTCGCCATCGACGCAAAGTCGAAGACGCGCGCGAGCGCGGAGCTGCAGTGCGACAACCTGACCAGGCCTGGCGCCCTTCACGCGTAATGAAGTAACTGACTACTGCTAATGAGCTCACTCCTCCACCTCAGCAGGCCGGCTATCTTCTAACTTAAAAAGAAGTCATTCACACCTAATGAGCTAACTCCTCCACCCGAGCAGATCTTCTAACTTAAAAAGAATTCATTCACAGCCAATGAGCTCATTCCTCCACCTGAGCAGGCCGGTGATCCACGGCGGCTTCACGCTGTGGCTGCGCGACGCGTGCGACCAGAACGTGTCGCCGCCGGCCGGTGGCCTTAAGGTCTGCGTGAGGCTGCAACCCGACGTCGCGCCGAGCCGGGAGGCGGCAGCGGCTTGGACGCCCTAGAAGCGGAAGACGCACTCGTGTCTTCCAGCCAGCGCTCGAGAGGATACACACTCGGCCGTATTGGCCGTATACCCCGCCGCATTCACTGCCTTCGGCCTCCCTCGTGTTCACTGCCTTCGGCCTCCCTCGTATTCACGCGGTGCCACGAAGAAGGCACGGCACAAGACCGTTCACGCTGTTCCCAGAGAAGAGGACACGGCACAAGACCGTGCCCCCCCGCCCTAATGCTACCCCCCGCCCTCACGCTGGGTTTCTTCAGCGCGCAGGCTTGGGCCGGCGCCGCGGAGATCATCGCGGCGGCCGCCCGAGGCAGCGCACAGAACCTGGCCACTTTCGGCTCGAACGGGCGCGCAGACCTGACGGAGCTGAGACTCAACTCGCTCAGCGCGCCGGCCTTCGACACCTCGCTGACGCTGCACTTTGAGCTGCAGCCGCCGCTGCCGGGCGTCGCCCTCCCGCCTCCGCTGCGCGTCAAGTACTCTGACCTCAAGAGCCTCAACGCGCGGGAGCAGGAGAGGCGCGCGCAGCAGCGGCAGCAGGCGGAGGCGCAGGCTCGGCTGCAGGCCGAGAAGCTGCACGCGCTGCAGGAGCTGAGCGAGCACTTCGAGCGGGCACGCCAGCAGCTGAGCGCCGAGTCGAAGACCGGGCCGCAGCTCGCGGGTCGAGATTGCCCGAGATCGCCCGAGATCACCCGAGATTGCCCGAGGGCACCCGAGATTGCCCGAGATTGCCCGAGGTTGCCCGAGATTGCCCGAGGTTGCCCGAGGTTGCCCGAGATTACCCGTGGTTGCCCGAGATCACCTGAGATTGCCCGAGATTACCCGAGGTTGCCCGAGTTTCACTCGTCCAGCTGTGAATAGGCCGGCTCAACCAGGCGGTGACGCAGTGCAAGGTGGCGGGAGAAAAGTTGAAGAAGTGGGCGAACTGGTGCGCGCCGCTGTTGCCGGTGAGCGTCGCTCCGCCGCCGCAGCTCATTACAACTCGGCTGCACCTCGGCTGCACCTCGGCCGCACCTCGGCTGCACCTCGGCCGCACCTCGGCTGCACCTCGGCTGCACCTCGGCTGCACCTCGGCTGCACCTCGGCTGCACCTCGGCTGCGCCTCTCCGCAAGCTTCCGACTGTGAGTAGGCCGGGCCGAGCTTGCTGCAGCAGTACTTGCCTGGCGGCGCATCGAGGCTCGCCCAGCTTCAGACGCAGCTGGAACGCGCCGAGGCCGTGTTGTTCACCGCCCAAGGGAGCGGCGGAGACGGCACCGACAAACACTGGCTGCAGGCCTTCTTGCAAGGCCTCGGCACGGCTTGGGCGGACCTGGCAGCGGTGGAGGGTCTGGCGGGCCATCGCAGGGCAGAGACGTCGCTGCTGGCGCGCTCGGGCTTGCGCGACAGCGAGCAGGCCTTTGCTCGCGAGGCGGAGGCGCAGCCGCACTCGGGGCTGCTCGGTGTCGTCGCGCAGCTCTTCGAGGTGCAAATTAATTGATTCGTTGTATAGTACTGCGATATCAGAGATGTAACTAATTGATTAATTATATCTGTTGCGATATCAGATCATGTAATGAATGAATTCTCTTTGCTCTTCGAGGTTCAAAACGTCGGGGACGAGGCCGTGTCTCGCACCCTTGCCGGCCTCCTCTCGACGCTGACGCGGCGCGACCTCTCGTCCCTCCTCTGCCGCACCTACCGCGCCGCGCAGCTAGTCGCGCAGCAAGCCCGCCAGCGGCAGCTGAAGCTGTCGTACAGGAACATCCCCGAGCAACCCTACCGGGGGGCCAACAGCATGGGGCCGCCTGCAATGAATGGCGTGCCGTTCGCCATGTACGCGAGCCAGCTGCTCGCCCCCGTCGTGTCGGACCGGCCTCTCTCTTTCTCTCGCCGCGGGCGCGCAACGGTGTGGACGGTGTCTCTTCACAGCGTCAGTATGTGAACAGGCTGCCCGACGCGCAGCAGCGGCGGGAGCTCCTCAGGGCGTTCATCATCACCGAGCTGAGGGAGACGATCGTGGTGCGGTCCAAGAACGACGCGGAGCTGTACATGCAGGGCCTTGCCCGGATGTCCGGTCCCAAGCCGCGCGTGGTGGCGCTGGACGGCTTCGAGGCGTGCGGGGGGGGGGGGGGGGGGCTCACCCCTCGGCCAACATCTCGGCACAAAGTCTCGGCTGCATGTCGGCTGCACCTTCGCTACCTCCCGGCTACCTATTGGCTCGGCCATCTCGGCTGCACCTCGGATCTCGCCCCCCTCTCGCGGCGGACAGGTCTCGAGCAAAGGCTTCTCGGACCGGGACGACCGCAGGCTCAACACGAGCCTCGGGCCGGCGCACTTTGGCGTCGGGCAGAGCGAGGTCGTCGGCTGGGACCGCGCGATGGGGTCGCTCGCCAGCGAGCTGCGCACCGTGCGCGGCGAGATCGAGAAGTGGCGGAACACCATGGCCCTCCACACAAACGCGATGGAGCAGCTGCAGCAGCAGGCGTTGCGGCAATACGGCACCAGGCTGCCGCTCCCGCAGCAGCCCTCCGACGGCCGCACGCGGAAGCGCGCCCGCCCGCCCGAGCCCACGCCGAGCGGCGCATACCCGCCCGGCGGCGGCGGCTCCTCTCACAGCGGCATCCTCCGCGAGGACCTCGACTGAGCCGCGGGGCCTTGGGATTGGGGTGTCTGCCATTACTTGTGTTGGGCCCGGGCACTTCTCGGTTATCGTACTTGTTGGCCGCCTGAGACGGACCCGTGCGTGGGGGAGTTAGTACGCATGTGTTTGGGAGCAGTATTCTAGGTGGCGTTTAGACGGAAGAGAGAAGAGAAGAGTGAGGGGCAATCCAGCCCCTTGGAGTGTGCGAGTGCGTGTGTGAAGGCGTGTAGGCTTCCGTACGTTTAGCCCTCCGGTCTACTATGAAGATCCGCAGGACTGGAGCGAAAAAAAGCAAGCGAGTGGGGGCAATCTTGCTTGCAGGGTGCCTCACGCCCGTGCCCGGCGAGCGGCGTCCGGGCCGCCCCCCGCCCCCCGCGCCCCCCCCGGGGTGCCGGGGCCCGCGCGCTCGTCCTGCCTCGACCGGGCACCCCCAAAATGAGCAAAACCGGGGTGATTTTGGTCATCCGTCAAATCATCTGAAGATCTGAATGGGGGATTCATTCTCCCCCAAAGCCAAACCGCCTTGCTCAGCTGATCCATGCCATAGGGTCGTAGGCTAGGCCTGGGCAAAGAAACCAGCACCTTGGGCCAGGTACCAATTTTGTCGAATTTATTTCAAAATCTGCAGGCGCGGAGCGCCTGCGAAAATTTTGAAGAAATTTGCGGCCGGGCCTGATTTTCAACAATATCTTTCAAATTTGCGGTGTGGAGTTGGGGGGTGGGTTAGGACTTAGGTTAGGGTTATTAGGGTTAGAGGGTTAGGGTTAGGGTTAGGGTTAGGGTCAGGGTTAGTCTTGTTGTGTCTGGTATATGCCAGCGTTGCAGGGTTCTGCGCTGGATTGGAGTAAAACTAGACGACTGGGACGAGGCGGAATGGGCGACGTACATGACTGAGACGGGGTCCATGAAGAATATGTGGCAAATAGGAGGAGAGACGTGGAAAAGGACGGGAGGAGGGAAATCATACATCGAAGAGTCACAGGCTATGATGGAAGCGGCGGCGACGGCGATCCGGAACAAGCGAAAGAAGGGCAAGACGCAAAGAGACGAGGACGGGGACGAGGAGCGGCCAGCGGCGAAGACGCACCGCGCGTCGCTCTGTGAACAGATTGGCCGGTGGTCGAGGCTGGCGGGAGAGGCGGAACGGTACCGAGGGGAGACGGGAGAGGACGCAAACGATATCGGGGACGCAGAACAGCGCAGAATCTACAAGGCACTGTGGCACCACGCAAAATTAAGAAAGGTGATCAAGCGGGAGAGGCACGGAGGCGATGCGGCGAGGGCGCAAGCCGCGCGGGATGCATGCCGACACCATCTGCAGAAAATGAGCAAACGACTTGAGAAGATGGACTCGACGGAGAGAGCGGTGGGGGAGAGAGCGGCGGTGCACGAGCTGGAGCGACTAATAACGACGACAAAGCAAGGACTGATACGAGACGTATTCAGGATACTAAACCGAGCGAGGGGACGCAGGACCGCACGAACGGCGAAGATAACGAGAATCATAGAGAAAGCGCCCCCGCCGCAACAAGGACCGGACATAACGCACGAGGAGCCCGCGGCAGTGAGGGCGGCAGCGGCCAGACACGGAGAGCGGACGCTCAGGGCCGTCCCAGTAGCGACGAGGGTCATGGCGACGCTGATAAAAGAATTACTGCCGCAGAACAGCGATGGCGGCGGCGGCGACACCAGTGGCGCACAGAGTGGGACGGAAGAAGACGAACGAGACGACACGACCAGCGTGGTGGAGAGAGTGTGCTCGTGGGAGAACTTCAAACGAGCCCTCGCAAAGTGCAAGGCCAAGAAGGGAACGGGGAAGGACGGCTTCAACGCGTACCTACTGCTGCGTGCACCAGAGTGGTTGCAACGAGCATACTGGGAAGCGACGATGCGATGCATCCGAACGGAGGAATACCCGGAGGTGTGGAGGGAATGGATCGCGATGCTAACGCTCAAGGCCGGCGGCACAGCGAGTGACATTGCGCAATATAGAGACCTGTGGCTCGACGTCTTCCCCTCCTCCCCATCGAAATACTACGAAAACCTACCAAATCATAGGGGGAACTCCTCCAATCCCGCGTAGTAAGTATGTATGTAACTGTAGGGACGATTTAGGTTTGGGGAGGGCGCGAAATGCGGCGGCTACAGGGAAGGAGGGTACAGGGATAAGAGGCGGCCAAACACAAATCACGCGCGAGGCTGCGTCTTGGGGGGCAGGGTGGAAAGCGGCAAGGGCGGGGCGACAAGAGCGCCGACACACACACACACACACACACACACACACACACACACACGCACACACGCACACACACACACGCACACACACACACACACACACACACACACACACACACACACATACACACACACACACACACACACACACACACACACACACACACACACACACACACACACACACACACACACAAGCACACGCAAGGTCGATCGGCCTTGCTGGGGCCTCCGCGGTGTGAAGGGACGAGTGAGATGAACCTGAGCGCCTGTCAGCTCTCCCCCGCAATCAGCCGACATCGGAGTGCATGCACGTCGAGCACGCCGTGTCCATCTGCGCAGTCCGAGTCGCTCTCCTTCATTCTATCGCCTCGCGGCACCGCCGCTGCTGCAGGCGCCGTCTCCGACGGGTCCGCCGGGCTAGACGGCGATGTAGGGCACCCACTGAGCGCCCGGCACGACCGCAGGTCGAGCTCGGCGTACCGCATCCGGCAGGCGACGGCGTCGTAGCTCTGGCGAAGGCAGTGCGGCGTGGGTGAGGCAGGGCGATTCGTGCAAGGGGGCGGGTTGCGGCCGACGCACCGGTGGCTGCACAGAGTCGGGCAGGTCGCCGCCAGCCTCTCGCACCGTGGCAACGTAACTTTGCATCCGGCGCGCCGCCTGAGAGGAGACCACCGGTGTCGGGCGCTGCGCCGGGCGGTGGAGGGTGAGCTGTGCGTGGCGTGGCCTCGTCGAAGCGGAAGCGGGAATGGCGGAGGATCAGCGTGAGCATCTGGTCCATGTCGGGCGTCCACGCCGGCACGTCCACGTCCTGGGCCGGTGGCGCCCACGCCGCGCCTCGCAAGGCGGGATGCGCCGCGTGAGCCGCGTTGGACTGCATATACACACCACACACGTTTCTGTTACGAGCGTCCGGGAAACAAAGCCGTAGCATGGCGATGGCGCTAAAGAGGTTCCTCTTTTCCGCGCCCCCCCCGCAAGGCGCGCGATACACAACTCGGGGTAATCTCTTCTTTGCGGCCAGTGATTCTTTTCTCGCACAACACTGGGCTAGATAGATAGAAAGAGAATTCTTAAAATACACGCACGCCTCTCACAGCACACTGGCACGACAAGGGCGCGGACTGGCGCGGACTGGCACACACACCGGCTCACCACCGGAGCCGCCTAAGCGACTCCGTTAAGAACGGCAATGCACTCCAAGAGAGAGATTTTTAGCAATACCAAAATTGTGTCACTCCAATGGCGACGGAACAGTCTGGTCTGGACCTAGCCTAAATTCTTTTCGCGCGCGCTCCGCCCAAAATTCTTTTCAATTCTTTTCAACGGTGAGCCGGTGTGTGTGCCAGTCCGCGCCAGTCCGCGCCCTTGTCGTGCCAGTGTGCTGTGAGAGAGGCTTGTATTTTAAGAACTCTTTTCAATGCATGTAGCTCTTACGTACATTCCCGGCCAGGAGGATTGAGGTAAGGTAAGGTAAGGTAAACTTCTCCACACACACGAGGTGGTGGGGCAAGGGGGGGCAACCCTCGCGTCTCCACGTCTAACGACAGGAGCCCCACGGCATTCAAAGTGCAAGGCCCGGTGCGCGTGGGTGAGCGGTGTGTGTGTGTGTGTGTGTGTGTGTGTGTGTGTGTGTGTGTGTGTGTGTGTGTGTGTGTGTGTGTGTGTGTGTGTACGTGGCTGGGTTCACAGCGTATGTCGGGACCAAATCCCGGTCGCGGCCTTCCGACTCGCGCCTCCGCCTCACTGGCACTATTGTAGCCCTGGCCGGTGCGCGTGTGGAGTTGAAGTTCCGGAGTGAAAATTCGAACGCGTTCTCTCACGGTGACCAAAAAATGTCCACCTCAGAGGCACCTCCGGAGGCAGGCCGCCGCACGCCGGCAACACAGCTCCAGCTGTCGAACTGACCCGCAGCTCCTCTCAGAGCGCGAACTGTGACGAAAGTTGACTGAGGCGGTTGTCAGGAATCATCATACGGATCACATGGTGGCTCTCTCATGACGGGAGACCGCCCGACCACTCCTGGGTGGCACTGCCACCGGTGTCGCTCGACGTCCTGTCGACAGCGTGCCGACAGCGACACATACCATGTGGGGCGCGTCGAGTATCGACCTCTACTGCTTACCCAGCCTTCGAGTGTATCCTGGCTGTGGTCCCACACCCACTGGTGTCCATCTCAGAGACCGCAGGAGGTCATGAGGGTCGATGGGAGTGCCAACCCCACAATCAATGCCTAAAAACCCAGCCCAGTAGGAGGATTGAGCTGACAGGGTTTGCGATGAGGTTGCTTCAGGAGCGACCCGAAGGGTTTCGGCTCGGAGGTGGCAGGTGCGCGCTACACGCAGCTCAGACGTCAGAGCTATGCTGTATGCAGCCAACCCAACAGCCCGAATAAAGAAAACGCAGACAGGACACGACGTAATCTACTCTTCAAAAGGATCCAGAATGCAACTGTACTTGCTACTCCTAATATTGCCGCGAGAGTTGGTTCTCCCCGCCTCACTCAGCACTCCGCGGCGGCGCTCAGGCAACGCGGAGCTGCATCCGGGCAACGGCAAGACCCCCTGCTGGAGGTTTGGCCCTCTCACTGAAAACCGTGCGGAACGAGAAGTCATCGCACCACCACCCTTGGCAGCACAAAGCCGCGCCAGATGTCCGCCAGCTCTGGAGCCGCTCCCTCGCGGCTGTCGAAGCGCTCCTCGTCCCAGGCGATCAGGTAGCCCAGCCGCATCACCTCGACCGCCCGCTTGCGAGCCGCCTCCGGGAAGAGCTCGTGCGACTGCGGCGACCACTCCGCCGCCTTGAGGATCAGCCTGCCCACGTCCACCGCCTCGGCCGCTGGCTGCAGGTTGGCCGGCCTGAGGGAGGGCAGAGGTGTGTCAAAGAGAGGATCCGGCGAGTCGGGGAGAGACCATTGCATCGCGCGCCTCAGTGCGAGTGCCTTGGCCTCGCCCGCCACGCGCACGCCGAGTCGGGCCGTCGAAGCGTTTGCGGAGACGACGACGCCGACCTTGCCGTTCATCGAGGGCCGCGAGACGAGAGAGTGGATCGCGACTGTGGAACCGACTGCCGCAGCGGTCGGATCCGACTCGCCCCACGAGCAGAGGACGCGCGCCCGCTCGAGGGCAGAAGGCTCGCCGGCGAGCGGGTCTGCGCCGCCGCGCAGCAGCGCCCGCGCCCGCTCGACGGTGAGCGCCTGCGGAAGAGGGGCAATGGGCGTGAGGACAGCGCGCTCACGCCTTCGGCCGCTAGTCTCGCGCACGCCTCGAGGTGCTGGAGCGGCTGGCGCGGCTGGCGACCAGCCAGGCGGCGAGGTCGGCGTGGCCTTCTTCGGTTGCAAACTCCTCGGGCGTGCCGAAGGGCGTAGCGGCGCGGGAGGCGCCGTAGGAGGAGAGGAGCTTGGCGATCTCGACGTGGCCGTTGTGGCACGCCATGATCAGCGGCGTGGTGCCGTCGTTGCGGGCTTGGTTGACCGCCGCGCCAGCCTCGAGGAGCAGCCGGACGCATGCGATCTCGCCGTTGAAGCTCGCAACGGACAGCGGCGTGGTACCGTCGTTCATCGCTTGGTTGATGTCAGCGCCAGCGCCGCGCAGCAGCTGGGCGCACTCGACGTGACCCTGCTGGCACGCTGCGCTGTGAAGAGAATAATGATCAAAATAACACACAAACCGAGCCACCACAGGGCACCGCGGCTAGCTATTCATCGAGGATCTCGAGCAGCGCAGCGGGCATGGCTGACCAGGTACATGTGCTTGTAAAACTCTGGCCTCAGGTCCATGTCGGCCGTGTTGATGACTGGCGGGGAGATAGGGGGAGGAAAGGGGAGATATGGGGAGGGATGGGAAGGGAGGGGGGGGGATGCCTGGGAAGAGCAGCTCGCCGGGCCCCTTCCCGTCCACGTCCACGAGCCGCGGCTGGAAGAGCGCCTCGGGCGCCTCGAACCGCTCCGCACCCACCTAGGGACTCGAACCCACCTGCTCTCACCTCCGCCCACCCCGGCCCACCCCGCGCAGCCGCGGGTGCGCGGCGCCGCAAGACACCCGCCACTTTTCAGACACGACGCCTTACCGACGCGCCCGCCGGGGAGGGTGTCTCGGACGTGTCTCGGAGGTGTCTCGGACGTGTCTCGGAGGTGTCTCGGAGGTGTCTCGGAGGTGTCTCGGAGGTGTCTCGGAGGTGTCTCGGAGGTGTCTCGGACGTGTCCCGGAGGTGTCCCGGAAGTGTGGGCCGCGCCTTGATGACGCGCCCGTCGGGGAGAGTGAGACGCGCCCGACGGGCGCGCCTCAATCACGGTGGTCGTCTCGAGGGCAAGCTTCTTCTCCATCACGGTGGTCGTACCACGTAGCAAACCTGCCCCTCGTGAAGAGGAACTCGGGGGCACAGGACGCGGCACACACGGGGCACAAGACGCCAAGCTGCAGACACGGGGAGGCAGGGAGTGCCGCACCTGCTCCTTCATCTCGCGCACCGTCTCTCGTAGTCTGCGGATCGGTTGAAGGTGTACCCGCGCAGCAGCAGCAGCTTGATCAGGTGCCTGCGGGAGAAAAGAACCCGCGTGAGAACAGAACTCATGCCGTGCGCAGCAGCTTGTCCAGGCACTCGGCCATGTGGCGGGAGGTATGGGGAGATCTGGGGAGATCTGGGGAGATCTCACTCGGTCATGTGGCGGCCCGCGACGTCAAGGCGGCGGATGTTAGCGGGCAGCGCGTAGCCCTCGTAGACCGGGACGATGTGCGTCACTCCGTCGCCTAATTAATGAACGCATTCAGAGTAATCAAGAGTTAATCAATGAGGACGATGTGCGTCACTCCGTCGCCAGAGTCGACCACCTCGCCGGTGAGCGAGCCCTGCAGCGCCAGCACCGCCTGGATGGCGCAGTGCACGCGCGCAAAGTTGTACTGTTCGAACATCGTCTCGACGAGGGCCTCGCGGT